TGGGAAGGAAACGATGTAACAGCTGCAGGTCCCATGAAGTTGAATATATTAATAAAAAAATCAATTTGACCCTTAAAGAAGAAGGAATTGTTATTATTTGTTTGATTTGGAATTTTGTACTTCCTTCTTCCATGCTACGTAAATTATTATGCTTTTCCTTTAATTTTCTAACTTAAAAGTTGTATATAACACTATAAAAAAAAAACAGAAAAAGAGTTGTTTATAACAGGAGCTAATTAACCACCGTCATGCCACTCGAGTCCAAGATTATTTACTTTTAAATCAAAGAGATAACTCTCTTAGTCACTGGAAACGTCATAATTTCTTATTCATGCCTAATGGAAAGGGAAAGGGCATCCTATCACATGCAACAATGGAATATCCCTTGTTGATAAGTAGAATAATTCTTTGTAATATGAAGTTTTGGCATTAATCAAGTAGTTAAGGATATGTAAAGAAGTGATTTGATCCCTAGGTAAAGTTGGATTTTTAAATTATGTTCACTAGAAAAGCAAAAGATGATTTGGCCTGAAAAACAAGCATAGAATATAGCTTTCTACAATTTATTTATTTATTTTTTAAATCTTGTTTAGTATGGTCAACAACGAAAGAAAGAATCATTTGAACTAGTACTTCAATATGTTTCATTATTTAACTTTTTGTAATGATTCATGAATACTTCAAACATAAGAAATAGAGAATATCATTCATTAATGGCAAAAATATTACAAGAAATGACATATTTGCTATTAATGATCATTTTTAGCCCATACTAGTATGTTTTTTAGGTAGTTTGGATTGTAAATACCTTTTTTTATAAGAAATAAAACGATTTTAACTTCTCTTTTTTTTTCCTTTTTTTTTTAAACTAATATTTAAGTGTAAAAAGATTCACTTACAAAATCGAGGGAAGGTGCATTGTTGGCCTTGACACATTCCTTCGGAGGGAGGGTCCCTGCAAAAGACATGAAGGAAAGATACCGTTAGAACTCCCCTCTTCACGTGATAATATATGGTGTAGAATAGCCCAGTAGTCTACCATGTACCTACAGACAAATTGGCATTCTCCTTCCCACTTGTCGCTCTGGGACCTGCTTTGGAGTCCGATCCTGGGTGACTTGCTTCCTTCTCCTAAACAAAAATGACAGGACATTCATCTCAAATCCATAATAGAATTTGACAGAACTCAGAAGAAAGATGAGTTTTGAGAAGAAATTTACAGATTTTCATTGAATATTAGAGGAGCAGTATACACTTGAATTGCCGCAAAATTACATGTATTTGAATGATACAGACAACAATATCACAAATTGAAGAATGACAATGAGGATATTCTCGAGTAGTGCCCAAAAAAACACCGAGGTTTCTAGGTATCTTTTTCCATCCTTGATCAGTTGGAGCTGCAAGTGAAGGAACTGACTCAAAGCTAGTGCTTGTGTTACTGATGGACGTGAGGATGAGACAAGAACGCCAGGAAGGGGCACGACAAAATCCTGAGGTTTTGCAGTATAAGAAGAGAGTTGTGATAAAGCCACCCACATATTGTATCTTGTTGTAAGGAGTATTAGTGGAACCATTGTTTCGTGTTTCAGTGAGAGATGCTGCCATGGCATTACAATTGTTGTAGAAGTAGATTCAATTCCTGAGCACTTCTTGCTAGCACTCCACCTCTCCTACAGAAAAAGCAAAGACATGAAAGGAAAAAAATTACATGATACTCCAACAGCAGTTAGAAACATTAAATGGTCATTGATTCATTGCTAATGAGGATGCACATATTCATGAAGAATCAGTAACCTTATGCTCCTCATGATTTTAAGCAGAAGGCATTTGTGTTTTCAGAAAACTGAAAAGTTTATGATATATAGACCATAAAGACATGCTGCCTTGATACTCACTGAAATTAAGACCTAAAAATGGATCTTACCTTATGATTGCTGGAAGAAGTTTCTGAATCTTTTGTAGTTGCATAAAGCATTGATTGCACCATTCTCGCCTGTGAGAAAAAAGTTTGGATAAAACAAGCAAAAACAAAAAAATAACTTTCATCAAACAGTAGTTCTGGAGAAACTGAGACTAATGCCCCTCATAATATTCAAGAACGGCACCTCTGCTCGGCATGAAGATCAACACCAACAGCACGAGGTGCTGAGATTGTCGAGTGTATTACTGGACCAAAAACTGCTACAAGCTTCAGAAGCATATCCAACGAGACACTAACATGCCTGCAGATTATAAATACAAATTTCTATGAATCGATCTTTTATTTAAAATTAGCATTTCCTTGCCTAGACATTAAGAATGTGATGAAAGGAATTTAAATTGACTGTGATTAAAATCCATGCCTAGGAACATTCAAGGAATTTAAAATGGTCAACCCAGTTATAGTAAGAGCAATGGAGAAGAGTGTAAGAAGAGATAATTAAAACAGTTGACCAGCTTAAGACATTAAGAATTTTCCCAGCAATTGCATGCATCTAAAAGAAAGAACAAGCAATTCCTCCTTAATTATAGCAAGATCGTTAGAAGTTTAAATAACCTCTCCATTTGGCTATCCAGCATGCTCATAAGTACGGGAAGCAAGGAAGAAAAAAGATCCAACGTGAAGCTCTCCATTTTTTCCATGAGAACACTGATTATGTCTGCTTGCACCTGCATCAGGACAAATCAAATCTAAGGAAGTCAAGCTCCATTAGCTACTTGTAACCATCACCAGAAATGCAATTAAGCAAAACAGATGAAATTTTCCAATAAAAACCCACAGAATGATCTGGAAGTTTCTGCAAGGCACTGATAGCTCCTTTAATGTCATTCCGCTCCCAAAAATGCCTCACCACCTAAAAGTTCATAATAAAATTAGTTAGAAGTACAAATAAAGAAAGCTAGAAGAATATCGTGTAAGATCCAAGCAAAATACTGGATGTCAATCCTAAAAGTTGAGATTTCTTTTCCATTCAAAAAACACAATAGACTAAATTGTTTTTTTCCCCCACCAAAACCAATGAGTGTCAGTCATGACAGATGTGCAGCTGCCCAAGTGCCCAGTTGATGTTCTACACTATAGTATTAATACAATTTATATTACAGTTCTACAAACACATATTTTTACTCAAGTTGTGGAAGAATAGAAAAGTAGCAGCCTAGATGCATGCATGATATCTGCTACTGGTTAAATTTGTAGCTCAATTTACCTGTAATTTAGTTAAGCGTGAGCGTAGTGTGCTTAAGAATACATCATGAGTCTCCATCAGGTTTTCAGTAATATCTCTGTCATTAGTAGAGACAGATTCCCCTTTAACATTGTCATCACCAGCAGTGGCCCATTCTCTTCTAGAAATTTGAATTTCAGTAATAGAATCCTTCCTATAATGAGCAAAAGCAGATCCAATTCTAGTAACTTGACTTGCAAGAACAGTCCCATCTGCAGGAGAGGTTGATTCCCTTCTAGAATTTTGAATTTCAGAATTAAAAACTTTCCTATCATTAGCAAAGCTTGATCTCTGTCTACTAATTTGACTTCCAAATATGAGCTCATCACCAGCAGGGACTGATTCTCTTTTAGAATTTCTTCCACTCTCAGCAATGGTAACTCTCCTGTCATAGGCAAAGGTTGATCCCATTCTATTAACTTGACTTGCAAGAATAGTCTCATTGCCCTGAGAGGTTGATTCCCTTTTAGAAGTTTGGATTTCAGTGGCAGCAACTTTCTTATCATTAGCAAAGCTAGACCCCTGTCTGCTAATTTGACTTCGAGATACTATCTCATCACCAACAGGGGTTAACTCCCTTCCAGAACTTTCACTCTCAATAATGGTAACTTTCCTTTCACTGGCAAAGGTTGATTGCTTTCTATTAATTTGACTTCCAAGAGTGGTCCTATCATCAGTAGAGGTTGAAACCATTCTAGAAAGTTGACTTTCAGTGATATTTTGACTACCAGAAGGGGTCAATTGGCTTCCAGTAACAGTAGCAACCTCCCTGTCGTTGGCCAAGGTTGATGCTGTTCTAGTAACTTGACCATCAAGAAAGGTCATATCACCAGGAGAGGTTGATTTCCTTCTGGAAAGAATACTTTCAGTAGTACTTTGATTACCAGTGGATGCCAATTGCCTTTCTGTTTGAGTCTCTGCTTTCTGCAAGTAAGCAAACATGAGAAATACTGAATGAGATAAGTCCAAAGGAAACATGTCAGTCCACCCCAATTTATTGAGACTTCAGATGGTCCAGCAGTTTTAAAGACAATGGATTAACTTCTTCGTATACCATCAAAGAGACATTTCCAATGGCTAGGAATATTGTGAACTAACCGTATGTTAAAAGACCAATATTGTAAAGAAACTGAAACTCAAAACCATGACAAGGAATTACAGTTATTAACTTTTTTCATCAGCAAAGGAAGTAAGTGTTTTGCATTGCAGGTTTCAAATCCTTGACCTTTACTCCAAAATCAAGGTTTTGAGGTTAGTGGGTGCTTAAAGAATTGTTAACTTACATTTTGTGCAAAAAATATCTTACTTTAAGAAAACAGAGATTTTACCATCATGGTTGGTGTTTTATCTGTTTCAGTTGTCTCACTTTCAATGCTATTAAATTTCTCTCTTCTTTCAAACCTCTCTACCAGAGTGCGAGTTCTTCCTGGAACAACTGCCACTGCCAAAGCAAAAATTCCAAAAGAATTATGTTACAGTCATAGTCAGTAAGTAGTTCTTAAAAACTATACAGCTGGAAAGCAAGGGCCAACCTCCATTTACAAATTTAACACAGGTTGTATCTTTGTTGCAATCACGAGAATCATTACCTGCAAATTAAGATAACTAATCATTCACAGTCTACAGAAGAAACTTACTGCCCAGAAATCATTTAAAAAAAACCTTAATATCTTAAAAATATATAACAAGAACCTACTTGCTTACCCCCCCCCCCGCCCAACAAAAAAACACTTTAACCTATTTGTTGAAGAAATAGAAACTATGGTATGGAACAAAAACGTACTAGTTTCTTGTTTATGGGTTGTCAGTGATGATAAAGTCTTCTCAAAGTTTTCTGCAGCAAGCTTGATGTCTACACACTTATCTTCACAAGATTTAATAGCTCCATCCTCTGCTTTGATTGTCGTCTCAGAATTCAGGTGCCTTTCACTATCTAACTTGCTTTTTGTATTGCTTAGAGTCACAGACTCAGATTCTGCTGACAAATTTCCAATTTCATGCTTGCTATTAGATGGCTTCCTGGAATGAGCAGGCCTAAGCAACATACCCGGTTTTGTCCTTGAAAAAGTGATAGATTCTTTTCCAGATTTGGAAGTGTCCTTCTCAACGGGACTATCCCTAGACACAACACTAGGCACAAAGATTGATTTGTTAACTGCTTGTCCATTAGATTTTAGGTGAATCTCTACCACTGGACTCTGTTTTTCTGTTGGCAAATTACTTGTCTCATTTGGATCCAATGGGAGCATCAATTTTGGAGAATTTAAAGAGCCAACTCTCTGTGAAGCAAAAGAATTTCCAGCAGTAGCTTTACAAGGAAAATTAAACAGAAAATTAGAGAAAATATAATAAAAAACCACAGATAGAGAACATTAATGAGCTACAGTCCAAACATTCATCATAACCAAAAGCTTTGGCCATGCACTTCCATTGTTGTCTAAGAACCTTAGATTCCTATTTAAGTGGTCCTGCCAAAGAATCATAATTGCCTAGTGGGATGTGGACCATGTGAACATTTGAGGCAATGGTTTAAATCAGACAAAATATTCAAAAATTATGAGCTAAAGGAAGCAACATCCCAATGGAAAATTGAGCATTGATGAAGAGATACTCACTGTCTATGTATATGTTTTTTATATCTTTTGTCTCATCATCAGAAGACATGGAGAATAACCCCAAAGTTGACCTCAAACCATTCCCTACTTTCTCCAAGGGATGACTTTCATTGAAATCCTGTTTCTTTTCCATGCGATTGTCTTGTTCTGGTACAGTTAGACCTCCATATGGCTCAATATGCTGACAAATACAGGGGAAGAAAGCTAAGATTACAATAATCTTTCTACTTGAGCTCACAGAATTAAACAATGAAACTAGAAATTTTACTACCATAAGGAGGAAGATTGCTGAAGGAGAATATATATATATATATAAAAAAAAAAATACCGAAATATCTGCTACCCAAACTCCAACAGAATTTTGATAATATGAACAACCCAAAAGTTTTCCTTCATGAATGCAAAGGTCACCAAGCGTGGACCATCCTATATCAACAGAATCATGGCAAAATACAGGTTCCCATGAATAAACCTACAATGAGAGTCAACAATAGATGCTTATGTTCCACTCCAGATTAAATCACAATCATTTCATAATGGGAAAAATTCAAACCTTCAAAGCTTCATCTGATCCACAAAAAAGGGTTCTCCCATCAGGATGAAAGGTAATTGAGCGAACCCCAGTAGCCTGATAAGAAGGAACATAAATAAGAGAGAGAACATGATAATATCTAAAATTTCTGTTGGCATTTCATTCATTAGTACTTATTAGACGAAGCTAAAAGTGGAGAAAGAAAAACTACATTTATAATGCTTATTTATTTAATACTTGTAACATTAGAAGCCAGTTAATAAGCAAGTTAATTGTGAAATACGTAACCTAAAGATGCAAAAACTTTATTCACACTCTTCTATTTTCCAAAGAAAAGTAAATCATCAGTTGTTATCTCAACTAGATTAAAAAAAAAAAATCTCATTATTTCTTACTTCTTATCAGTAGTGTCTGTATTAAAAAAAAAAAAAAAAGTGTGACCTAAAGACGCAATTTATTTCTTCTCTGCTTTTATCCCAAGAAAAGTAAATCATCAATTATTATCTCAACTATATAAAACAACAATCTGATTTTTAGTTTAGAAAATACTATCCTGGATACCTCAGGTCTGGCGGATCCAATCAATTCAAACGTTTCTAAATCCCAGAA